TGCTATGTGACTTGAAAGGCCCTTTTCCAAGCCCCGCCATTCCAGGCGTCTGTGATCCTGTGAGGCCATCTTCTCCTGACTGGGAACTCGGCTTCCTTCCTCCCCTTCCTTCCTTCTTCTGTACCAAAACCAAACCACTCTCCTCCTCCCTCAGCCCTTCACATAGAGCAAAGTCGGAGAATTAAAGCAACATTATGATTTTTCTCTACTAGAGGATATAATGATCTGTCTGCTTTAGGAAGGATCCCCTTCAAAAAATGATCTTCCTTTTACGATTAAAGCACATGGGGATATATTATCTTAGGATTCAACCAAAATTAGGATTTTTAGACACCAGACCACTCTGCTCCTCCCTCTACTGCTTCATCTCTGTCACGGTTTAACCCCAGCTGAAGGCTCAGCCCGGCACAGCCGCTCACTCACAGCCCCACAGCGGGGTTGGGGAGGGAATGAGAAGGTAAAAGTGAGAAAACTGCTGGGCTGAGATAAAGGCACTTTAACAGGTAAAGCAAAAGCCACACAGGCAGGCAAAGCAAACCACGGAATTCATTCACTGCTTCCCGTCCGCAGGCGGGCGTTCGGCCATCTCCAGGGACGCAGGGTTCCATCCCGCTTCACGGTTACTCAGGAAGGCAAACACCATCACCCTGAACATGTCCACCCCTTCCTTCTTCTCCCCCCAGCTTTCTGTCAGAGCATGGCGCCATACGGTATGGAGCATCCCTGTGGTCAGTTGGGGTCAGCTGTCCCAGCCATGTCCCTGCCCAACTTCTTGTGCGCCCCCAGCCTCCAGCACTCGATCTCACCGTCCATGTCCCTTACAAAGATGTTGAACAGTACCGATCCCTGGGGAACACCACTCATCTCCATTTTGACATTGAGCTGTTGACTGCAACTCTTTGAGTGAGACTAGTAATCATCTTGGGTACTTCTGACCTGAAGCACACACACGTCCACTGGAGACACAGAACCCAGAGCGCTGACCCCACCTGAGGAGTGGGAAGGGGGACCTTAGGCCTTTAAAGCAAGGTACTTCTGTCCCTCACTTCCAGTCACTGGGTCTAGACACCCCAGACCTTGACTTGCACATGCCAACAGCTGTTTACATGCATCACACAGTAACGCTGCCTTTGCTTAACAGGGCTTGAAAACCTCTCATAGGAAAGACTGACAACCACCACTGCAGTCCCTAGGAAACAAGCTCAAACAGCCTTTGCTTGGTGGCTCCAGTGACCACTATAGCTTGCTGAGATCCTGCATCTGGAGCTCATACAGAGCACTTTGGACAACCTGAGTCCCACTCCAGGTCAGACAGCTCAGCGTGGGAAAGTGGCAGATGAGCTGATAAAATGACGATCACAATCTAGTGAATTCTACTACAGAAATGGATAACTCATCTCCAGAAACAGACTGTCAACTTCTGTCACTTTATTGTAGAGAAAGTACATCAATTCCATCAATTCTAAACCACTTACTAGATAAGAAAAACCTCACTGGCTGCACTATACAGACAATAAGGAGATCAGTTTTCAATTCATTAACAAAGATGAACTCTGTCAATCTGCAAGGTGCAAAAACCCCCCAAAAATATGCAATAAGAAGTGATTTGTGTGCCCTACCAACAACCAGCTGAACAGCACAGTCCCTCCAGAAACACACCTCAGTTCAGCCAGAGTAAGTAGAGATATCAACACTGAGAGGTCAGCAGCAGCTGCTGTTTCTCTAACAGAAAGAAGTATTGCCTCTAGCCATAACTTACATATGTAAGTGCTTAAATCATTCAGACCACAAAAATGCACATTAAACCCACAGGACTTCAAAAACAACGAAGGTGGTAGGAATTTCCAGTGCACTCAGTTAGACACAGTTTTCCTTTGAGCATTGGGTGCATCTTCCTTCTACCACCAGAAATGTAACCAAGACGTACTTCAGCCAGTACAGATGGGATTCATCTGTGCCCAGTTCAGCTGCTTGGAGCTTAGGCATTGAGACTAAACTGTTCTTAACCTTCCTCTAAACCCAGGAGGGATAGGCAGCTCTTTCCAGATTAATTTGTAACTATTTTAGAGAATCTTTGTTAGGATGGGAAGAAACCAGTTCTGGAGGTGAAAATTCCTTTCCAATGATGAAAGACAGCAAGTTCCTTGCTTTTCAGATGGACAGACCTCAACGATAAAGATACTCATTTTGCTGCTCCAGAGAGAAATATCTGTCATATAGTTAAGATCAAGTCCAAACAGCCACAAAAAAAATTGCTTGTATTCACATCTTGGATATGCAGCTTGTACCAGCTACTACACAACAGCAAAGGATCAAGCTGAGACTCCACTCCTCTCAGCATTTCCTCATGTCTTTTAAGACCACAAACCAGAGAAAACAGACATTTGTGGAAAATCTACCTGTTCTGTAAGAAACGAAGGCTTGTAAGCTCCATCAGTAGATTTGTTTCCAGTGCCTCTCATTGATTTCATGTGTGAAACAGCCATCCGAAGAATCGTCAGCTTGTCAGGCTTTCGAGCCAACGCGCTACAAGTGGGTACCATATCGGACAGTTCGGTGATGTACTGTGTCATCTTATTTCTCCTGCGTCTCTCAATTTCACTATGATTCTCCCTGAACATTTAGAGAAACACCAAACCAACAGAAAAGCAGACATGTTCAGTAGAAGAATTTCAGTTGGAGGTAATAAATCATAATACCTTGCACTTGTTTTGCTGTTTCACCCCAGGAGACCACAATGCTTTACAAAGCTAAGCACTATTATCTCTCAGTTTACAGACAGAAAATCCAGGCCACAGAAGGATAAATATGATTTGCCCATAGCTGTGAAATGAACCTATATTTCTAGCTATTGGCTTCTGGCCTTAATCTCTTAACCAGTATAATCTCCTTTGGTTCAAGGACAAAAAATGAAGTAGAAAGATGTGAGGAGCTGACAACTGCCAACTGCAGTCTGACTCAAAACTGCAAGAGCTGTGATGCATCTCACAGCTTCCAGTCCTTGCCCAAGGTGTTGGATCTGCTTATAAAAGGCCCCTTTTAGAGGAAACCTCTCACTAACAGCTGGATCAGCTCAGCAGTAGCTGTCAGCGCTGACTTACAGAAAAACCCCACTCTGACAACACAGATCTCCAGTCCCATAATGCTGTGTGGAACATCCTGCATCCCTGCAGGGAGACACTTCATGCCTACAGGATCAGACTGCAAGACTAGAACCATATATGGTATAACAGTATATACAAAACAAACCCAGTAAATCAATAAAATGAGCATGAAAGACAGCAAATAAACATCTGGCTTGTCAGACATGGATCAGAATTTATGTTCGAGAACAGTCTAGCAGAGCAGGGAAATAGCAATGACAGTGCTTGATGCTTCCCCACTTTTGGCTGAGCTCCAATGTTCTCATCCTTTATAGCAAACACATGACTGAGGTGGTGAGTCAATCTGAGAATTCTCAAAATGGACACTCACCAAACTCTTTCAGAACTGAAGGTCTGGGAGTTCAGTTTTCTCATACTGCAAACCACCACTGCTTGATCACTATTAAGGAATTACACCAATATATACACCTAAGATGGTCCAAACGGACCTAGAATACTTCAGTACCTAGCACTTATTTTTTCCATACTGTACCTGTCAGGTGGCAGCTAAATACAAGTACACAACAGCTACAGGATGCCTCAGATGTCAAAGCAGCATCTTCCACTAATTTCAATGAGGTGTGCATGGCATTTTCTTGTGGGATCGCTGGCTGATCCAGCAAGATGTGAAAGGTGATCACCTTGAGAGTCCACCAGCAATGACTGGCACAATAACACAACATTAAAACAAACTGCAACATTCTTTGGAGCTGCCTGTTACGAAGACTGATCATGAAAGCAGCAGCTAGGTTTCTCACACTTTTTGGCTATTTTTAATAATGGAGTCTTTTCTTCAAGTGCAGGAAAGAACCCAAGTTGTAGTACACACTATTAGTGGAATACAGTATGTATTATTCCTGGAACAGAGGAATGCATTGCCTTGCCCTGCTTTGCAATGTGTATCCTGTCCCTGCACATATAGGTGTTACATGCATAAAGCATTATCTGCAGAAATACCACTTGTTAGAGCTACCTGTAGAGTCATTATTCCTACCGATGCCTATGCTTACTATCTGATATTCAGGAAAATCAGCTACAGGTCTCTGCAATGATAGCTCATGGTCGTTCAGTAAATTACAGCCAGTCCCTTGGTTAAGGTCACTATCTACTTACCTATCTATTACACCGTAATAGTGAACCTTTCCGTTCCAAATGGCCAATAAACAGCCTTTGTGTGGGTCTGCACAAACGTAGGAGAGAACAGTGCCTGTGGGAGTCGGATCGTATACACACATACAAGCGGAACAGCTCGTGTGACAGTGCACGTGCACATGAGAGCACACATGGGTACATGTCAGCATATACATGCAGATAAATATGGACAAGAGGAAGAAAAATGCATTTTTACATGATGAAATCTTGCTCTAAGTTCAGCATTTTCACGGAAATGGTGACTGAGAGACAGCACTCATATTCAACATGTATTTTACATTTATAAAAGACATATTCCATTGTCTGCCACTAAAGTATTCTAATACTCATAACACTAAAAACAATCATCATGAAGAGTAAACAAAGAGACTGAGAAATTTCCTGAGAAGAATATCCAATAGCTCATTTCATTAATGATCATAAAAGCTAAAAAGTAATAGTATGTTAATTGACTGGCCATGAAAATGTTCAAGCAAACAAAATCCTGACGCTTTTCTGAAACTAGTTCAAATTTAAACCAAAAGTCTCTGTCCTAGGAACCCTGGCATTCATAAGCATGTATACAGAATGTTGTCCTAGTTCTGTCATCTCTAACTTGGTTTTTATATGGAAATTTTGGAGAGACGTTTAATTTTGGGAGACTGCAGGAGCTGATCCAAACCAACTTACATCCAGGGTGAGTATTTCTGATTTCCAGCATTCTGGATCAGTCAGCCCTCCTGAGTTTTGAACAGTCAGAAGGCATCCTATGAAATAAAAATGCGGGCAGACCATATTTGATTGTCCTTTTTCCTACCTGGCCATTCTTTCTGTGTCAGCAGTACTTTGATCATTGTCCCATCTAAAAACAGAATAACCAGCTCTCTAAGCTAAGGCACACGTACTGAGATTTTCTGGACACGATCGTCCCCCTCTTTCCTCTCAGCAGAAGAGCTCTACAGAACAAGCCTACCTTGCAAACTTTTCCTTATCACCAGAGATTTGATCACCATCATACCTAGAAACAAAGACAGTAAGTAAATTTACAAGGGTTCTGCATCACGTGATAGTCAACACACAGCAGAAAGCAAACAGGTTCACAACTGCAAACTATTACAAGTAACAGCAAGAAAAATGAGGACATGAGAACAATAAAGCAAAGAAAACCTCGAGTCTGATGAAACTTCCAAGCCATGCCAATTCAAAAGCTTCACTTGTATATTTAAAAAAGTTGGAGACACATTTCAGTGGATTTATGCAAACACTTTGACATACACTCATTGCTTGGGAAACTTAACAACCAGCACCAGTACAGAAACCACCACTGAGCTCTTCTCGACAGCAGCCCATGAAATATTCATTGCTGTGTTAGAAGTGAATGTTTTCCAGATTGCAACCACAACTCACTCCATTCAGCAGAGGGCACTGATGGTCTACAGATAACATGGGAGGGCAGAGACACACGGTTAAGTGCAATGCATTATTTAAGGACATCCTCAGAAAAAAGCTCTAGGAGGTACAGACACTGTACCGTCTGCTGGGAAGACTGGCAAAAGTCAGCCAGGCAGATGAAACTGCTGGGTAAACAGAAGTGGAATTAAAACTGGCTTAAATTCCTAGGAGTAAACAGGTTCCTCATTCCTACCCAAATCAACAGAAGTTAGATGCCCAAAAAGGTACACGTGGGGAATCACTGGCAACTTTATGGCAGAAATCCTTATCAATGGGACTTTTGTCCCAGAGACAGGCAGTAATGCGACATTTTGCTAAAATATCACATCCTGCTCCTCCTTTCCTTTTTCTAAAAACATACTTACTAATCCTCTGAAATTAGATTTTGCTAGAATAGTTACAAGAAGCCACATTTTTTTGAAAAAGACCTTACTTTAGGAGAAGCTAAAATGCTTGCTCCAAAACATAAAATGTAGCTTTTCAAAAATACAACGCTAACGGCTTTTCTAGAAATGAAAATTATTACTACTCGAGTGATATTTTGTATTAGAATTAGCTTTTCCAAAATGATGTCATTTATCACAACAGAGACCCCACGAAGCTTCCAAGTATTAACTAACAAGATAATACAGCACAATTAAGCATCTTTTTTCTTCTAAAAAACTAATAATTGACTTTTTTCTTTTCTTCTTCTCAAATCAACTAAAACTAACTTTGAGTACCCCAACTGTGCAATTTCCTCTATGAGGCTTCATATTTTCCTTCCTCTGTAAGACTTATTCAAACTCTGAAGAGAAAGCTTAAGTGAGACTCCAGCTCTATTTCTCTCTACGCTGCATTTAACGCCAGCACCCTCAAAGCATTCAAGTGAAAATGCCACTTCCTTCCACTCGGCTCTGCCCAGAGAACAGACTGAGCCCGAAAAATTCTAAACAGAAAGACAAACTGAATGAGGAATGGCCACGTGCCGTTAAGTGAGAAGTTCATGCATACGTCTCCGTGAGACGACGAGATCCCATGCAGAGATACCTGAGCTGGCTTGCAAGCCCTTGAGAAGCAAGGTGTTAACTCACATGGAGTAACTTACTAACACCACTACCTCCTGTGCTCCCGCTACCTTGGGGCTTTCACCATCCCTGTCTGGTTGGCTGGGCTGAAGATGTTGCTGCCTCCGATACTGTTTTCTCCCCTCCAGCCTCCCAGCTCACCTCTCGGTGTTTATGCTTCTTCAAGCACTACAGTCAAAGCCAGCTGGGTTAGCTTAAACATTTAAACAGCTGTTCTTTACTAACCAAGCAATTTTGACTGAGTCAAGCTAGGAATTAGTCATGTGAGCAATTTGGAGAAGGGAAAAGTCCTAAAAGGAGGGCTCAACAAGAAGAGGATGTCCAACCATGGCCCTGGGCATCTCTGCACTGTTTTTCTGTACTCTCTAAAAGCAGAACAATTGGGGTTTTTTAAAACATTTAAGATTTAAAAATCAGATTTTGTTCTGATGTCTAAAATCAACTGAGTTTAAGCATAGCACAGCATATCTCTCCAATAAAAATAATGGAAGTATTGGCTCTCCCTCCCATCAAACTTTGAAAGGCTGAAGCCAGGATGGAGACAGACCAGCGCACGTGCAGCACTGTGCCTAGAAACCCTGACATTTATGCAGGCACAAATTAGGTCACGTTCATCACAAATCTTGTCCCCTTAACATAAATCTTCTAGCAAACATCAGGATTAGCCCTCAGATCACCAGTTTTAACACTAGGGGCTGGAATATCCTTTCTGTAAATGGCATCAGCTAAACAGAGATGCTGCTGGTCTTGTCCAGTACGTTATGAGATGGTGTTACAGCACATCTTCAGCACACTTCTCTTTCAGACTGACTAGGAAGACCTTTTAAAAACCCGACACTAACAGCTGTGTTTGGACTTGCTGCTGTTACAGATGTTTGGAGAACCAGCAGTTATCTGTAGGCCTTGAAGTACCTACACCTCACTGCAGCTGCTTGGTTTCTAATGAAAAGATGCCAACAGTGTGACCAGGAAAATAGGAAGAGTGGAAAAGTGAAAAAATGGCAAATGATACTTTAATGTTTGTTTTTATTTCTAGTCTAGAATATTCCATGTTAATTAACATTTATTTTGGCAATTTCTACTATTCGGTCACACCTAATGGTACATAATGAGCTTTAATCTTAAGAAAAACAATCCACACCTCTAGGATCAGTCATATTGTCTTAACAAGCAGTTAACATCTGAAAGAAATTCAAAATAAAATTTTCAGTGGCAGAAAGACAACTTCTGCAATGTCAAATAACCAAAGTTCATCTACAGCAGTTGAAATAATAAGCTAAAAATCACAAATTTTCTCATTTGACATAGCTGCAGAGCGAAATTATGACACACACACACTGTCAGCTCTGTAAGCCAATAACTACATTAGGCAGATTTCTGCCAGGATGCCTAATTGGCAGAGGAAGTCGATTAAAACAGTAACTAGAATTTAGGTCAAGTTGTTGGCAAGTTCTTCAGCCCATATTCATATTGAGTTTAAAACACCAGCAGTGAGACAGATGTCTTTCTCCACTGAAAAGAGTCACCGATTTGGCCAACTCTTTGTAAATGCTCACCTTGAAAATTTGCTGGGTCCCTCCCCATCTTCGTCATCGAAGTCCATTCTGTAAAAGCAAGATTTCCAAGTCAGCAATCATGACGCTGGCAATGGTGACATGAACACTGAAACCCACCAGTTCTCAGCCTTGTTTGATTTATATTTTGACTGGAGGTGTTAATGACCGTGGATTCCAGTCTTGCTCATATTCTCCAGACCCCCTAAAAGTACCTCATCAGCTGCCAGGAACACAAAGAATAAAAGTTAAAAAAAATAAAGTAGTAAATCACTGTTCTGCTCCACAGAAATCTGCACTCTTAAAATTAACAAATAAAAGGAAACATTAAACAAATGCTGTCCTTGTGAGATGGTCAGAAGAAGTATCTCTTAGGCCTAATAGAAGTTTACAGAAATCAGTGGGGACTCTGTTAGCAGACTGAAATTAAGGCTAAAGAAAATAAAGTTCTAAGGCTGTACACATAATAACCACCAGGCCACTATTTTTGTCCCCGTCTAAAGAAAGCATGTTAGAGGTAGAGCAGAATAAACTCCCAGCCTCCCTGCTAAGAGGGTTATCCACATTACCGCTGTGGATTGTAACTGTGGTACATTCTTTAGCCTTGCCCCATACTACCAATCATTTCACACACCTTACCAACCAGTCTCCAGATGGCAACTACTTTTCGGTCATTACTAAAATGACCTATGGGTCTACCATGCACCTAACTTACCTGGTTTATGTCCCAGACCACCTTCTTAAGTCAGTAGAAGAAAAGAGCTCTTCCTCGAGCCAAGCCCCAGCCCCCCACTTAGGCTCCTCCAGGGAGCCACAGAAAGCAGGAACCTCTTTCTTCACTTCTTACACAGAGGGACTACGGAAGACCAACTTCCTAAACAAGCCACCTAAATTAGTTTCCTATGTTAAGCAGTGTGATTGTCTCCTTCCCATTGATGTTAAGTCACTACAAAGTTATGCAGTAATATAATTTCCAAAGCATTTTATACACTTTTATGTATAGAGGTAGACAAATATATATCGCAATTACAAGTGGGCTCTGCCATTAAGGCAGACTAAGAACCAAGCTAGTATAAAATTTATCATCTACAATTACTGTATTAGTGTATCTATTTGAGTTAGAAAATACATTAGTATGATATACAGACCCTGATCAATCACTTAAATGTAATTCATGTAGATAGGAAATTATAGTTCTATTATGCAAGCAATTTTTGTCAAGTTCCTTTAACACTCTAAGCTTTCTAACATTTCAGTGTAATAAAACTTTATACAATTACAGATTCCACATCTCTAACACTCTTCATATTAACAAGAGATTTAAGTCATATTAAAGGCAAAAACTCTGTAAAATGACAATAATGATTATCTCAGTATTAAAAGAAACCCCTACCTATTGAAAATTAAGATTTGTATGTTCAGAGTGTGGGAACAACGATGTAAAAGTGCTCTTTAAAACTGTATCAGCATAGAGAAGTGTGAGTGCCAGTCAGGCAACGCTGCCTTGCTCCCTAAGTTTGATAAACAAGACAGGCTGGTCTATAAAAGATGTGTCTGAGTCACAGCAATCTACGCACAATCAGGACAAGGGCAGCAAACAAGAACAGGAATTGGAAAAGGTATTAGAAAAGTCACAATAATATTTTCCAGATGGCAACAGTGATTATTCATTTCTGGAGGAAGCAGAGGGAAAACCATTTTCCCCAGAGTCGTAAGAAAAGATGTGCATTTAATTTGGTTAAGCTTGATGCAATCACCATTTTCACTATAAATCACATTTTTGCTCACCTAATTAACACCCACTCGGGTTTCCGAGGCAGTGACCCCAGCTGCCGGGCGCAGAACAACACCGACCTCCAGTGGCGAGCGCCCCGGCTCCTGCCACCGCCTGCGCTCGGCCAGGACCCAGCCAAGAGGCTGCTCCCTGCCACTCAAAACATGGCCTTCAGCACTGGCACCCACGCCCTGAATTACCCCAGACCTGCCACCTGTACAGTACTCCAGCACTTTAACATTTATGCATTATCATCTAAGTGAAGGTCTCCTCTAACCCACCTGCTTCTTCCCCACGTATAATAACATACACGTAGCTGACATTTCAAAACAAATTTCTGAGTTGTTTCAATTGCGGTGTTTCTACCTACACTGAAAACATGAAAGTCGAGGTTACAAGAGAGCTGTTTATTTACAAGTGGAGGGCATACTCAGGCCAGCACTGGGCTGGCTCCACCTGAAACCACTGGCAAAAGCATCGCGCCAGGTCAGGCACATTCATCACTGGTTTCACTGGCAACTGCAACACAACAGAGAAACCTCCAGTTTCAAACTCGGAAGATAAGGCCTGCAGAAAATACGTATGCCTATGGGGAAAAGCCTTTTCTTCAGGGATTTACACTGCTTTAATTTGGGATGGATTAATTTTACAACTCCTTTCCTTCCCCTCCAACACACTGAGATCCCGTGCCTTGGTAGATTTTCTTAGCTTCCAGCCAAATACTCCAGCTGAGTGCTCAGATGGATTTCTCCCCCCAAAAATCAACTATCAGCTCTACTGCATTTAGCCTGGTGTATTATTACTGGGATGCAATGCAGAGAATTACAGGGACCCTGATGATGGTTTACAGCTTGATCCTGCCGCCTGCACTGTGTGCCTGCTTCCAAAGGAGTAAGTGGGACTAACACACCTATTTATCCAGCTGCCTGGGTATCAGCTGCTCATCTCAGGAGATGCTGATGGGTTCATATCCATAGATAATACCTACCACACTCACAGCAGGCTCATCGCAGCAGAATCTGAGTGCCTCGGGTGCAATACCTGACTAAATCTTTAAATACTTCCTTTGCTTTGTTAAAGTACCTAAAAATCTTGACTTTATTTCAAATGCAAGATTATTTAAAAAATAAGGAATTAAAATTAATTTAAAATGTCAATACTGTAAAAAATGTATCTCTGTCCCATCTTTGTTAATAAACAAGTTTCCTCATTTCACACTTCACTGTGCAAAATGAAGAAACCTTTTCAAAACCTGGAAAAAATGTATCTCGGGTATAAAGTCAGTGATTCCAATGCCCTGCCTGAACCACCCTGTCAGCTTTACAGCCAGGTAGAGTAAATGGCAGGGAATCCATTGTAACCTTTAGCAGAACACAGCAGAACACATAAAAATAATGTCCTAACAAACTCCTCACATCCTGACAGGTAATATTTTCTGTTCAGAAAGAACCCATCACATATTAGCAAAACAGCAGAAGCATCTTCCAAGAAGACAAATGGCATCATTTCAGAAGTTTCAGAAATAATATCTTCTATCTTCATTTAAAATTCCCATTAAAAAGAGACTTTAAAAAAAGAGCTGCACTATGCTCTCTTGTTTTGAAGAGACAGCATAAATCTTGTTTTCCTCTTTCATACTGTTCACGTCAATCGTGAAAAGGCCAGATGTATGAGGTACTTATTAAAATGTATTTTGCTGAAAAGACGTGGGCACCATAAATACTGTGATGAAAATAAATTTAAAAGTATTTATTTTTAATTACAAATACTTTCATACAAAAATAACCCCAAAACCAACAAGGTTAAAAAACTGAGATGGGAGAGGATTTGAACATTGCAACAAAATCATTATGTGAAACTCCCAAGGAATGTCAGAAGATGGCTTGCCATGATTAGACAGCGTAGGCAGGGGGCAGGCAGGACCGAGCAGGAGCAGATGCAGCTGATGGGGAGCTGTGCTACAGCTTTTGTTCAGTCCAGTATCAGGGGGTCCAGCTGGGGAGGGAGGCTGGGGGGCTCTGGTCTCTTCCTCCTCATATTTGCTGGGGCAGAAAAAAGACAAGGCTATGTGCTGAACAGAAACAAAACCAGTGTGTCTGGAAACCAAGAAAACACCACCATCACTTCCTCTGCAAGTACAGATAACCTAGGAAGGCAAAAAAGCCCCATATTCTCTCATACAGCAAGTCTAAAGAAAAATGTGAAGTTAATTAAAGAACTGACATCAGATTAATATAAGGTTTTCATTGAGCGGTGCAGTGCATTATCTTATACATTACTGGGCTGTCACCTCTTTCTATAAAGTACTTGGTATAATTTATAGAAAGGAAAAATATTTTTCTGAGCTGTCAATAAGCTGAATGCCTGCACCACAGAAACACCTCCTGGGTAGCCAATGAGTTTCAACTGATCTACATTCAAGACCATACAGCAATTATCCTGCCAGCTTGCCTCAGCAATTATGAGAAAAGAAACAATTTTCAGAGATAACCGATGCTGGAAAGATGACTGTGCTCACCAGCCACATTCCTTTATGTTTGACACAAAGCATTCATTTCCAAAAAGGCCAAGGATTTTAGGTGTACAAAGATGTATCACCAGGACAGAAATGAAAGGACCAAGTGTTAGTTGCAACTTTGTTCAAAGAGAAACTGGGAGGAATTAGACACAGCGGGCATTCTTTCCCTCAAGGTCTGAATACAGACGCTGAACAAAAAATAAAGCAAAAAAGCACCCTCAGCTCAGGCTTGGAGAAGGGCTGTTAGTACTACGCTGCGGTGCACAGATGAAATACCACAGATGAAATATGGGTACAACAGCAAACCCATACTAACTTACTCAGCAAATCTGCATGTTAAATACATTTAAAACACTTTTATTTCATGTTCCTCCCATCCTCCACGCACTCCACTTTCTTGCAAATAGATGATGATGCCTGAATCGCAAAGGCTAAAGGACAGCTTTCTGTTAGTATCATGTCAGCATTTAACATAACCAGAAGATTTCACAGTCAGCAGCATCATATATATGTTTATATATAGTTATATATAATAACTAATATATATAATATATATTATTATCTATAATTATATCTATACTAATGTATACTATATATATAGTTTATATACATTATAAAAACATTAAAACAGGCAACGTGCCTTGGCAAACAAACCCCAGAGTAGCTCTCACAAGGAATAATGTTTTCTGTCTTATCCTCAGGTGTCGGTCAGTGAAGACTTTACTCACACTATTGATCCTGCTAAGCCCTACCGCTGTCATATTTAGAGCTAAATATAAGATTTATCAATCTCTTCTGCAGGCACTCTTGAATCAGAGAGAGATCTCTGAGAAAGCATCACCTAAAGATCACTATTTGTGGTCACCCTTTGATAAAAACAGGTATTTTTTTGTTAATACTAACGAATAATTTTCTGCAGTTCTTGTTAACACTTTTCTACTAACAGAGAGGATTAGCAGGAGTTGCCACAGAGCAATGTGATGTGGAAAAACTATCCTTATACCGCACCACCCTCTGTAGTTGGGTAAAACAAATTGTGTTCTTTACAGATGAAGTTGGACAAGTCTACATGTGCGAGTAAGAACACATCTCGCTACCTTTATTCACATGATAAATCCTTTTGAGATTAAACAGAGGTCAGCAATACGCATTCATTACATGTACAACTACCATAGGAACTAAACTCCCTTTCTGGATGCTTTGCCAAACCTGAAAACCTTTAGAAGCGTGCAAACAATAAGCTATGGACTTATCAGCAAGTTTGATCTTGCAGGAAGAACAAACATATCGAAGAGAAAAACAAAACATCAGAGACTAATGCCATAACCTAGTACGTACATCAACATTGCATAATAAACATACACAAAGGCAGATTTTCAGTTTTTCAATACCACTCATTGCCAATTTCAGACCTGAAAGAAAAAGAGACAGCTCACCCAGAGCGGCGCTTTCCTCCTCTGGAAGGCATGGATCCTGCCATCCTCACCTGCCCACTTGCCATCGGTGCCACCGGCAAGGCCACCGAGCCAGGAATATCTGATGCCATTTCTG